TCTTGCATTTATCCAGGGATCCAGGACCTCATTAATAGCAGCAGCAAGTTCCCTGCTCTTGTATGACTTCATGACCAACTCATGAAGCTTTCCTTGGGTATGCCCGATAAACTGAGGATGCATGCCATGAAATGTGCAAGGAGCACCACTAGGTGCACTTTGTAGAGAACTCTCCAACTCTGACTCAGAAGCTCCAAGAGTCTCATTGGGTGTTTGGCACATCTTTGACAGATCAGATGTCTTTGAACTTGAAGCAACTGGGACCCAGATCCTATCCACCCTTCTGAAAGCGCTGCTATTTTCTGGTATAACACCTTGATCAACCAATACCTGCAACTCAATAAACGAGAAAGGCCCTCTTTCATGCCCAGCCCCGTCAAGGTAGTACCACTCACCTAAATGTAATTGTAACTCATCTGCTGAGCAAAGACGATCCTTTGGAATAATTAAGGGCATGATGCTCTTACTGGAACCATGCGATTCTTGGTCCTGCCTACTTTTCGAGCGATAGACGGCTTCTTCTGACGACCTCTTAGTATCACCAGTCACCACATATGGTCGTGATGACCTCTGAGGATGTCTATCTTTTCCTCTAACTTTAGTGTGAGGCTCAGATACAAATGACCCATGCTCCTTAACTACACATGCATTTATCCTGATCACTGGAAGCATCATCCCTTTAGTACCCCTTAACACTGGAGGTTTAGATTGATTGGGTCTTCCAACAACGTTACTATCATTCCACTCATCAGGAGTAAAAGCCCATGATGGAAGATCAAGCTTTCTGCTGTGTGACGGGTTATACAATTCATCTTTCTGCAGCCATCTTGGGTCTTCAATCCCAGATTTTGACATGAGGCATAGAGGATAACCATCATTAAGAACAAGTTTCTTTTTCCACAGCCTATCTTGTGTAGCTTCATCAATTCTTTTCCAATCACCACCCTTGCATGACCACAGACCAGAAAACAATTCAGCTGGGTCACTGCAGAAGAAATCACTTTCCTTGTCACTGGTCCTTGGTTCTGTGGATTCTTTCTGCACCTCTGAACTAAGTAAGAACTCATCTGAACTTTGATTCCAGTGTTCCCCTACATAAGAGAAACCAATGCATACTTAATCATAAACTTCCTTACCAACAAGATGGGAAAAAGTGTATACATCTGATGCACACAACATAAGTGGTTAAAGCAATCCAAAAGCATATAAACAAAATGACATGATAAGGGACCAGTCCTGAAAAAAACAAACTCTGAATATATTCAAGTCCAAACACAGTTAGAAGAAAAGTCAATCAACCGCATAATAAAGTTCTGATACAGATACTAAAAAACATATATACAAGCCTGTATACACACTAAAGATATTATCTTTTACATCTACCTGTACCACATAAAATTCCATTCAAGAGTAGTTTTAGGTTTTTCCTCAGCCCCCCACCCCCCAAAAAAAAATTACATCAAACATTTTAGTCTCAAAAGTTAGGAGAGAGGCTGATCACAGCCAGTGACGAAATTGGGTGTGCTGGAGATAATTACACAACCTCTTCAATGACGCAAGTAAATTATCTACAAAAACAAATGAAAGAAAAAGAAATGCAAGATCAAGTTAGACTTGGTACAATCAGGCCTCCAAACTTTTTCTCTCTCCAAAACCCCAGGACAGGCAAACAACCATAGTTTCTCTATTTTAATAAGTAGGGATAAACAAATATAATTGGCATGAAAGTAAGTTATCTATAAAAAAAAAATGAAAGAAAAGGGAATCCAAGATCAAGTTAGACTTGGTACAATCAGGCCTCCAAACTTTTTCTCTCTCCAAAACCCCAGGACAGCGAACAAACATAGTTTCTCTATTTTAATAAGTAGGGATAAACAAATATAATTGGTATGAAATATTGACTGTCATTAATTATTTCAATTACAAATCATAAGGAAATTAATAGACTGCGACTAAGATAGGATGCACAAATTAGCTGATACCTCAGGGTAACTTCAAACTGATCAAAAAAGAAAACAGATCTAGCTGAAACTCAAAATGGCAAAGTAACATAACAATATCATCTCCTTCATCCAAAAAAATAAAAAATATAACAATCTCATCTCATGGTATTAAACCCCACTTCAATCAAGCTATCAACTGCTACTATTCACAATTTTCCTCCTTTACATTCAAATTAGCTTCAGACTTGCTTGTATGTTGCTTTGAGAAAACTGCAGTTGTCGTTCAACAAAAGGTACTGCTACCAGTTTCAGAAAGTAAACAACCATAGCCTAAATGAGTGAAGAAACAATCGTATAATAGACAAACATGAGATTTACCAAACAAGTACACCAATATTAAGTAGTCAGATCTCCACAGGAAAGATAATGTTTTCAGCAATTATTATCTTAGGCAGAGAGCTAAGAAAACTAAATCAGCAGTAATACCCCACGAGCTATATATTCTCCACATACGCTTCAATAAAAGATGATCAAATAACTTCCTTTATCACATAGGCAGAGCAGTGGAAAATTATACCCCTTCAATGATCACCAAGGAGATATAGAGTTGAAGTAGAAACAAAAAGAAGAATTACTTACCTTCAGCACTTCCCCATTTCTCCCACTCCACATGCTCCAAGGTCACTTGCAGCACTTCTGCAGAAGAGAATAGCAGACGGGAATATTAAGTGTCAGAAGAAAAAATCTGAGCACTACCATGAATAGAGAGATAATTCTAAGAAAAATCATGAGCTACTCACCACCAATAATCTCCAGTTCCCTGCCAGGAGTTACAGAAAAGCCCTCTAATAGTGCCCCTACTCTCTCATCAATATGATGTTCGAGAGAAGGTTCAGCTGCAGTCAAATTATCCCCATGACATGGTACAATCTCTGATGAAGGAGGAAAAGTATCCACAGCTACCTGGTCATTAAGTTGAGCTAGATCACACTTATCTTCCAAGACATTACCAGAAGCCTCGGGAGGGCTCACCATCTGTGTAACTACATCTGAAACAACTGATGGAAAATTTACAGTTGCCATAGGAGAAACTGCATTCTCAACAGTAACCCACCTTTCACTATCTGCGTGTTTGACAAAGTGGTCAGCCACAATATATCCTTCTTCCACCAGTGACTTTAGCTTGCATAATCTGGAAGGTCCTTGTTCCACACCAAACTGATCGACATAATACCACTTTCCAATGGTTCCTTCTGCTACAGTTGTAACATGTGGTGGGGTATTGCATATATCCATGTCTTCTTCCATAGATGCCGCCTCCTCAACAGCTCCACTTTCCTCTGAAGGCTCCAAGGCATTCACTGCAGGACATTGAGGCAAACCATCATTGTTTACTGGATGGTTGCCACTTTTAACAATTGAGCAGTTACTATTTTCAGGACAGCTTCTAACCTCAGAATCCTTAGCAAATTGATCTTTCATACTGACATCCTTTTGGCTGCTGAACTTTCCTTCATGCTTTTTGCCTTCAAAATGACTTTCCTTTTTATCACTTGGTCCACTTTTCCGACCTGTGTCTCGATGATAAGTAGTCCTACTCCGATCACGTGGGGACGGCTCCATGAAGTTTGGTGTCCTGTCCCTCCTATGATGGTGGCGGCCTTGATCTTGTGGGGACCACTCTGAATAACTTGGGCTCCGGCTTCTATGATCATAATGACGACTCCGGTCATAAGGAGACCTACTGTGATCAAAGTTACGGCCTCGATCATAGGGAGACTTCTCACGGCGGGCTGGGCTTCGATCCCAGTTATCAAGATGGCGGGCCCGGTCACGTGGGGACCTCTCCAAATGACGAGGACTGCTATTAAGTCTGTCATAAGGAACTTTAGATGTCTCATAATGCCTGGAAGAATACCTGTCAGGTGGAATGTTCCTATTAGAAGGAGCATTCTTGTGCAACTTCTCAGTAGAACGCCGCAAACTGTGATCTGCTGTGTATACAGCTCGACTTCCATCATCAGAAAGTTTCCTGCTTTTTGAACTTGAGAAGTCATCATACTCACCCCGGAACTTACGGTCATTTTTATCTGAATCAGTACCATGCCGTTTTAACCTATTACCTGAGAAGTATTCTCTTGCAGGATTATTGCCATTTCTCAGTTCGCTCTTGGAAGGACCTTCTTCTCCAACAATCTTGGAACTAATCCTTGGGTTCCTTTCTGGAATGCTAGGTTCATATCTAGATAACCTCTTCATATGCTGAATTCCACCACTTCTACCACCATCTTTCTCCCCAGAATGCTTACCTGAGGAAGGTGGTGTCCATTCATGGTCATTTCTCCATCCTTTGTCCTTGGCCGAAGGTGGCGTCCATTCACGGTCATTTCTCCATCCTCTGTCCTTGGCCAAAGGTGGTGTCCATTCAAGATCATTTCTCCACCCTTTGTCCTTGGCCAAAGGTGGTGTCCATTCACGATCATTTCTCCATCCTTTGTCCTTGACCGAAGGTGGCGTCCATTCACGGTCATTTCTCCATCCTCTGTCCTTGGCCAAAGGTGGTGTCCATTCAAGATCATTTCTCCCCCCTTTGTCCTTGGCCAAAGGTGGTGTCCATTCATGGTCATTTCTCCATCCTCTGTCCTTGGCCAAAGGTGGTGTCCATTCATGGTCATTTCTCCATCCTCTGTCCTTGGCCAAAGGTGGTGTCCATTCAAGATCATTTCTCCCCCCTTTGTCCTTGGCCAAAGGTGGTGTCCATTCAAGATCATTTCTCCCCCCTTTGTCCTTGGCCAAAGGTGGTGTCCATTCAAGATCATTTCTCCACCCTTTGTCCTTGGCCAAAGGTGGTGTCCATTCAAGATCATTTCTCCACCCTTTGTCCTTGGCCAAAGGTGGTGTCCATTCAAGATCATTTCTCCCCCCTTTGTCCTTGGCCAAAGGTGGTGTCCATTCATGGTCATTTCTCCATCCTCTGTCCTTGGCCAAAGGTGGTGTCCATTCAAGATCATTTCTCCCCCCTTTGTCCTTGGCCAAAGGTGGTGTCCATTCATGGTCATTTCTCCATCCTCTGTCCTTGGCCAAAGGTGGTGTCCATTCACGATCAATTTCTCCATCCTTTGTCCTTGACCGAAGGTGGCGTCCAGTCTAGGTCTCCTTTCCAACCCTTGTCTTTACCAAAATCATACCTGCGTGTTCTGCTATAGTTAAAATCATCCCTTGCTGAGCCCTCACCTTTCCGCCACCTATCAGGTACAAATTCACCTGGTTCATAACCAGGTTCATTCTTATCAAACTCCCCTTTTCTGTCAGACTTATCAGAAATATAGTTAGCCTTTTCCCATTCCCCTTTGCGCCACCTTCCTTTGAGAAACTCACCCCTTTTAACATCAGGTGTAATCTCCCCCTTCTCAATTTCACTCTTTATTTCGAATTTTCGCGAAAATGATTTCTCCGGAACAAGTTGTCCGTTGTCCACAGGTAAAGTACCCAATTCACCCTCCTCAACTTCATCTTTTCCAGCGTCACCATTAGACTCAACTTCTTTAACAACACTCTTAGAACTCAAGTTCACTACTTTTTTCTCCCGCTTTGCTTTCATCTTACCATTCATCTTTTTTTTCTTCTTCTTCACAGTTGCTGTAGTAGAATTTAAAGAAGAAGTACTGAACGTGCTGTTGTTAGTCTTGGGTCCACAAACTGAAAAACGCTCCATAATATGCTGTACAGGCACACATGCAACGCCTCCATCGCCCATGGAAAGCTCAAAGCTCTTCCCCACCGCCAAAACCGCACCACAGTCGCCAGAACCAAACCCTAATAATTTTCTTCTTCGCCAGGGTTGTTTATGCTCATACTGCTCCAAACAAATTCAGCTTGTCCAATTCCAATATCCGCCGGGAAAAAAAACCCTAGAAACATCCACAAAGCACATACAACAAGAAAAACAAAGATTAAACAATCAAAAATCCAGCAAATTAAGAAGAAAGAACAGAATGTAGGGTTTTGAAAAAGAGGGGAAAACTAATAGGTGTAAAATTGAAAGTTCTAGGGTTTATAATGTGAAAGAGATACATACCAGTTGAAATTGGGAGCTGAGTCGTGAGTTGTGAGATCGAAGAAGAGAGCTGAGTCAAACTCCGAGTCGAATCGAGTTTGTTGATTGTAGAGAAGAAGAGGAAGCGCGGGGGATCGAATGGATTGTTGATTTTCGCAGAGAACGAATCTCTATTTTTCGCCTTTCTCTTTCTTTTTCTCTCTCTGTATAATACTAATAATCACTATTATATAGTTTTATTATATTTTCCTCGAGAGAATTTTCTGGTTCGGGCTGGGCTTTTGGCCTGAGAAGAAAGAAAGAAAACCTCAGTCAGTATTTACCCCTTTTTTGTACCTTGTAGAATTTTTTGTAGGCACTCATAACAGATTTCTACCGGAAATGGTAATGTAAAGGGCTTTATGCGGCGGTGGCGGCGTAAATTCAAAGTAGCCGGATTTTAATGATTCATCGGCGTGAATTCAAAATTGTCGGATTTTAGTGATTGGCTTGAATTCTGAAATGGTTGGATTTCAGTGATCGGCGTAAATTCGAAATAGCCGGATTTCAGTAGTTGGCGTGAATTCGAAATAGGCGAATTTCAGTGGTCGGCGTGAATTCAAAATAGTCGGATTTTCAGTGGTCGGCGTGAATTTGAAATAGTCGGATTTCAGTGGTCGGCGTGAATTCTGAAATAGTCGGATTTCAATGTCGCGCCGGCATGGATTCGAAATAATTGGATTTCAATGTGGCGTCGGCATGGATTTGAAATAGTCGAATTTCAGTGTCGCGCCGACGTGAATTCGAAATAGTCGGATTTCAGTGTCGTATCGACGTGAATTCGTTGATTGAGTATTGATTTTGAGTTGAAACATGAAAATTGAGATTTTTGAATGTGAATTACAGTAGTATTTCACTTGGAGAGAAATTGAAATTTGGAGAGAAAATCTATAAAACAATTTAATTTTTGGAAATTTATTTAAAGATTAGATTTTCAAAATTTGATATTTTTGAAGTTAAATTTGATTCAAAATATATGGTAAGTATTAGCTAACTTGCTATCATTATTAATAGAATTTAAGTAAAATAATAATTTGGGCAAGTAAATATGATTACTTTTTCTAGTCCAATATTAAGTAAATTATTGAATTTTTTTCATAATTTAAAATAAATAATTTTTTAAAAATCAAAGAGAATTGTTGAGATTTTTCTTATTTACCCTTTCTTTAATAAGAATTTTAATATTTTATATTTTCAAGGAAAATGGTTTAGAACCATCAAAAGATAATTATGGTAAGTAACATTTAATTTATATATATAAATATTTTTCTTAAAAAGTATATAAATTAAGTAAATTGTTAGGACTTTTTTCATAGTTTAAAATAAGTGAATTAATTGTTCAAAATTGTTAGAACTTTTTTCATAGGACTTTCTAGTATACTTTTTTCATAGTTTAAAATAAGTGAATTGTCCAAAATTTAAGAAAGTTATTAAAGACTTTTTTCCATATTTATCTTCTTTTAATAAGATTCTTAATACTTTATATTTTCGAGTAGACTAGTTTAGAATAATAAAAAAATATTAACCAAAAGTAACTTTTAATTTACATTTTAAAAGATTTTTCTTAAAAATATATCATATCTAGATTATTTCTTAAAAATATATCATGTCTGATAATTCACTTAATATGAAATAAATCGATATTTAAAATAACTGAAGATGAAGTACTATTACTACCACACGTGTGTGAAAATTAAAACTGACCATCTTCCCGGAGGGTAGGTATTTGTGTTTCTGAAACAAAGGGAGGGGTGTTTTTGTCATTTGGTAACATGGATCTTGAAAAAATTAAAAAAAATAAAGATCATAGGGACAATTTGGTAAAGCAATGGGGGTAAAAACGTCATTTGATACTTAAATTGGAGGGAAAATATCTTAAGTTGGAGGGAGTTCCAAAGTTAATTATCTGGATCCCGCGCTCCCCAAAATTATAAGATGTGTTTGAGACAAATGAGAAATAGCGGCGGAGTCGGGATTTTTAGTAACGGACTTAAGATATAAAAAGTAAATATATGAAAAAAAAAATTAAAAAGTTTTTATCAATGTGAGGTAATTTTTTATCAAAAGGAATTTGATTGTACCTCTCCGCATCGACGAGCAATATTTTTTTGTTCCTCTTGCAATGGAATCCAAATAATTTTGGGGTCGTTTGGTGTGAGGGATAAAAATTTTGTGTCTTGTTTGGTTGTTATGTTTGGAATAACTTATTCCAGCATTTATATCATAGTAATGTGATAAGTTATCTTATATACATAATGGGATGAGTTATTCCAATATAGCTAATCTCAAAATAATTAATCATGAGATAACTTATTCCCGACCAAACGACCCCTTATAATAAATAATATATAATTCTCAAATCCATTAACATAAGTTCTCTTTTTTTCTGTGTTGTTTGTCAAGCAGCAGAATGTATGCTCAATGGAAGATGGTACGAGGTACAGATATCATTGCAGAAGGTTTTGTTTTTCTTGTGTAAGAATTGAACAAGTGTTTTACTCCTATATTTTTTCAAAAACCATAAATAAGTATTTGAAAATGCCTCTAAACTTGACATTTTATTAGTTTGTCCCTAAACCATTGATAATTTTAAAAATAATCTTTTATTTGACTAACTAAACTTATATATACTCTCAATCTGCCACAAGCGATCTCAAATTCATGTAGAAGTATGGAACTCTTAATAAAAAACCGAGGGAAGCATTGAGAACACTTTCAAACTTGGCGAGAATTTACTGGTGTATTTTTCACTCATGTTGCAAGATCAGGTGTATTTATGTTCAGTTAATCAAGTAATAGAATGTTTTCAAGACTGTCAATAGTTTAAGGATAAAACAAATAATACATCATAGAGTTTAGGGGTGTTTTCAATACTTCATCTATTTTCTTTTTCAAATTTGGTTACTCAACTTAGTCGGATTATTAAAAGGGTTGATTTTACAGATCACTTACAAAATATAAAATAAATTATGATATTTTTATGAGAAATTTCACCCTATATTTGGACAAGAATATTGTTGGATATATATCAAGAGTTAATGGGAAATGGAGGAACAATGAAAAGAGAGGAACTTGAAAAGTTTTCTTATGCTTTAGAAAAAAATATTTCTCCCTCATTGGTGATGGAAAGAAAAATAAAAGTGTTTAAATAGAGAAACACTTATATTAATTGTTAAAAGGGTTGGAAAGAGGGATCCCACTCGCACCGCTGTCGTCGTCGCTCGCCTGCGGCGGCGGCCTTTCGGAACCAGTTCCTCTTGGCTATAAATACCTTTGATTCCTCAGATTTTTACTTACAAAATTTCTAACTTCTTTTGCACAAATTTTATTCGTGTACTTTACTGCCGTTGAGTGGCTCACTGACACTAGAGTTTTGGATATCAATGCACTGGTGATTAAGATCGTTCTATCCTAGGAGGATATATTCCAATTCAAACCTCTGATACTAGAGAGGAATAATTTTTTTAAGGGGACACTGCATTCAGTGGGCTCGATTTTCTTTCCATTCTATTTCATACAGATTCTGGTACGTTTTACAGATTTTAGTTTTTTGTTAATTAATTTTTGTTCTTCACTGGGTGATTTAAACTTTGGAAATTTACTGTTTCTGCAAAGTTTTATTATCACCAGTATTGTTTAGAATACAGATTGCATAACAAAGAATGCTTGAAATTGGCGATCACAAAAATGGAGCCACCATCATTTTTGATAGCCCGATATGTGTCAAATCTCGTAAAGATATACTTGTTGAAAAATTGTGTTACACTCCACCCCTCATTGTTGGGTAAAGCCACTACTTCTACCCACTTCGACAAATAGTTGACGACCACTAAATTATACTTGTTACCAAAAGAAGTTACAAAGGTCCGATGACATCTATCCCTCACACAACAAAGAGCTCAATATCAAGAATTTGTGAGAGAATAAGTTCATGCTTTCGAGAGATACCCCTTTACATTTGCATTAAACACACACCTTAGAGAAAGCATACATATCTTGGAATAGCATTGGTCAATAGTATCCACATTGTGACACCTTCGACGCCATACGAACATCACAATAATATCCACCTATCTGCGATGCATGACAATCATTAAGAATTTGTTGGACTTCAACTTCTGGGACACAACACCGATTTATATGATCAACACATTCTCTAAAAAGATAGGGTTCGTCCCAAAAATACTTCATCACCTCAAAGAGAAATTTCTTCTTCCAATAATTACTTAGCCCGTCGGGCACAATTCCACAAACTACATAATTATCATAGTCTGCATAATATGGTGTTGAACCATGAAAAAGCACCATAATCAGCTCAACGGAAAAGACTTCCTCTATCTTCCTCTCCCCAGCCAATACAACACGTAGTTCAAGACAAGACAAATCGTTAGTCGCTTGGTTCTCACAATCCATTCAATCCTTCATCTCAAAATCAAATTCTTGAAGGAGAAGTACCACTAAATCAACCTTGGCTTAGCCTCTTTCTTTGCCATCAAGTAACTAAGAGCAGCATGGTCAGCGTGCACTATATATATATATATATATCACTTTAGTGCCCAACAAATAGGCTCTAAATTCCTCAAATCCATATACACCAACCAACAACTCTTGTTACGTATTGTTCTTTTGGGCACAATTTAAAGTCTTGCTGGAATAGTAAACCAGGTGGAAGAGCTTGCTTTTGTGTTTCCCAAGGACAAAACCAAGGGCTACACCACTAGCTATTTCAATCCAGAGCAATAATGATTGAGGCTAAGACAAACTTCTCTTTCAAACACAAGAATGTCTTTAAATAATTTTCACCAAAATCAAAGACACTCTTCTTTTCAAGCAACTTACACAAAGGAATAGCCACCTTGGAAAAGTCTTTTATGAACCACCTATAGAATCCGACATGCCCCAAGAAATTCCGTAAACCTTTCACTGAAATTGGAGGAGGCAACTTAGCAATCACAATTATTTTCGCTTGATCAACTTTAATACCTTTTTTCAATACTTAGCAATCACAATTATTTACTCATAATATATCTGAAATGGTCATTTTATTTTATTCAGTGGCTAATAAATCTTATTTCCTTCAAACTTTTCATCGACAAGCTAACTTGAGTAAAAGGGAAACTTAGTGTACTAAAGCTCTCGCTATATGTAGGATCCGAAGAAGACCCGAACATAAAGATCTATTATACACAATCTAACCTTACATTTTTACCGATAATTGTTTCCAAAACCTCACGGAATTAAAATATTTCCAACCCAAACCAAGA